AACGGAAATCCAAGCAGTAAAGCGCATTCAATCAACTGCTCCTAAACTTTGCTCATCCGGCGTGGACTTTGGGTAGTTCGACGTTCGGGGGCTAGGCATTAAATTTATATGTCAATAAATCTCAAAAGTAGCAAACGGCAAGCGCGAATCGTTTGGCTTTACGAGTAGTTTGTTGCAATATCCTCTCCTACCTGCCATCCGTTCGCTGTCCACTTAGCTGAAACTTATTAAACAACGCCTAACGTCTGCAGAGGCGTATGTTTGGGCCAAAGTTTCAGCTGCTGGGTCTCAGGTTCAGGTCCAGTTCACAGCCCTAGCTGCAGGTGTGGGTCCAGTTGGGTCGCGTTGGGTCCGGTCAGGTCCGGTCAGGTTGGCGCTGTGAGGCATATGTCTATAAATCAGCTAGTCTCCATCCACGACACGAGACAACAAGCGAGCTATGAACTCAGCTTCGAGCGCTTTATTGGTTTCCCAGCATGTATTTATCACTGTGTGTGTGCGTAAGAGATAGAGAGACAACAGATGTGTGTGTGTGTGTGTTAAAAATGCCGGAGCAAATTGATAATCAACATTAAATAATAGCCGGAACTGCAAAAAAACCAATATATTTGCGCAGAGTTTAATTAAATCAAATATAATAAGATAAAGAGAGAAATAAATGTTGAAGTGGAAAGTTAAAGAGAGAGAGAGAGAGAGAGAGGTAGAGAGAGAGAGCATAGACGAAGAGTAAGTTAACTTATAAGCATAAGCTAAGTAAGTGAGCTGTAGTCAGCAGTGCTCGACTATAGGATATCCTGCACTTTGCTGGAGCCATTTGTGAACTACTTGGGCCCTCATATACAACACGAGACTTGGTCAAGCAACCGAAGCTTGATAGCAATCGGACATGATCACATGTTCTCTAGTAGCAAAGTAGCAAAGTCGACCCAAACCTGGAAGATACACCCCACATACCATGCAAATGGACCTCTCAGCTTAGGCTCCCATTCCCGGATGAACTAAATAGAGCCACAGCGACTTTCTTTCTGTATCAATCTTCGACTGTTTGTTGTTTTAGGAATCAAAAAAGTCTACTCTTGCTTAAGAGCGTCAACTATCAGACGAATTGGCTAGGCACCTTGGCCAGAACTATAATGAAATTTCACTAAACTAGTCCGGAAATTTAACTATCGGCAATAGTATTAAATGCTATTGTAAATTCATGCAAATAGAATATGAAAATAAATATGAAAAGCTAAATTATGCGGCCGTCCGTCCATCCGTCCGTACTTCCGTCTGTTCGTCCGTCCGCCCGTTTGTCCGTATAACTCTTGGCTATTTAGAAGAGTCTTAACGCACATAGAAGTAAACACATGTCAAGTGGCTTAAAGTCTTGTCTCGGAGCTAGTTCGCAGAGCTTACGAACATGGATTAGGCAAGCAAACACTCGCCACTCTCTGCCTCTCCCTCTCTACCTCTCACCCTCTCACCCTCTCTCTCTCTTTACCTCTGTTGTGGCTGCTAAACGGTGAAGCTTCATAATTCGGCAATTCGTTTGCTGCTGGCATTAAGAGCTGCTAATTAATCAGTCAATACACCACAGTGCCCACACATACATCTACCGCAGTCAACATGCCCAACTCCCTTGGCTAACACGCATAAATCTCGGCTCTGTGTGTGAGGGAGAGGGAGGGAGAGAGAGGGGCTAGCGAGTTGTATAGGCTGAGGAAAGACAACGCATCGTATGAGTTATGTCAAATGCAGACTAACTGAGAGACTGAGAACTGCCGCCAGAGTTGCCATCATTAATAATATTTTTAGTTTGCCAAGCGCAGCTCATGGGGGGTGGGGGCGGTGGGGGGGCGTGGCTGTGAATGTGCGGCAACGCTCGCAGCTCTAACAAATGGTTTCAGCTCCGCCGCATGCTGCAATTAATCAAGCAGACAAAAATCTGGCAGTTCCTGCGGCCAGAGTTGACATTCCAGCCACCATATAAGGTGTATATATCGATATTATGACGATGACGATGACGATGACAAAGCTGTGGGCTCTGCGTGTATATCATGTCAACTTAAGTTGGCTCACATGCAAAACGCCTTCACCTCAAGTGATTCAGAAGCGCTTGGCATGAGTGTGTGTGCGTGTGTGTGTGTGTATGAGTGTCAACTGCCTTTTAAGCTGCCTTAACCCATTTTGCTTGTGGGCAAAAAAAAACAGTTTATTGCCTCATATTAAGTTCAGTTTGTACTCGAGCTAATGCAATTTTCAATGCCTTCAGTCGACTGAAAATGTGAAACAAAATACTCGAAGGCAAAGCTGGATCAACAATTTATGAAGCAATGTGAATTGATTTAACAATTGAAATTTCCAGACTTTCAATCAACGAAAATTCGTTTACGAATTAGAGCTGACCCAACAAGTGTGTTAATATTTCCAGTTGCTCGAGTACTCTATAACATTTAGCTGTTTAAATATTTAACAAGATTTGCCATTTGTTCTTGGGCATAAATATACTTTTAGGGCTTTTTATATGCCAATAATATATAATTGACAAAGCAGTGAAAGCCAAACCAATCCCGGAAGCAGGCCAAGCTGCTTAGCCAGCGGCTGGGCAAGAGCTCTCTGACCATGGAAGAAGCTAAATTATCTTAAGTGTCTTGCCCTTTTAAGCTAAATTGATAAGAAATATAATACAGCTTATTATGCTTAGCCTTTTTCAAGCTATATAAGACTCTAGCTAAAATCTTGAATCTGAAAGTGGCGAACTCTTCTTGATTTATACAAGGAAAAGTGTTTAAGCAACTTCACTTTAGCCTTAACTGCACATATCTTAATATCAGCTTACAGGATATTTAAAAGTCGATCATTAAATTAATATGAATATTCTGCTTAAGATTATTAACTGCAAATAGGAATATGAAATTTGTTGCGGTTGCTGTGTGGAGCATCCATCGATGGGCGAGCCACAAATGCGAGTCGGTTGCTTAAGCTTGTTTAACCAACTTCTAAAGAGAGCTCTCACACACACACACACACAGACAGAGACAGAGAGATGGCTAAGATGCCCCAAAGAAATTAAATTATTTGTTAGCAGCAAAACGTGTGGCAGCAGCAGGCGACGACTGAAGTGAGTCGATGAAGGGCATCTAGAAAAAACGAGCATGACAACAAGGACATACAGATTACATAACAAATATATACACACACACACTGACTAACACACACACACATATATATACATATATATATATATATATATATATAAGATATGTATGTATAGATGGGGGCAACAAGTGAAAATCCATTTGTTAGAGGAAATCGTGCAAAAAGCTTAAATACAAAGCTTAAACATAAGTAGCAACAAGCAACACTCACACACACACACACACACATATGACTGACCCGACTGGCAACCACACACTCACACGCACACACACACACAGCTCAAGCATTTGGTTATGCATATGTGGAGCAGGGACTTAGGCTGGGGCCAAAGCCTAAATGAAGCTGCCTTCGTTTGCCTTTTCCTCGTTGTTGTTGTTGTTGCTGCTGGCTGTTGCCTTCACGTCTTACCTTTTAACGTGTTTTACCGTTCGTTTCTTCTTTATGGCAGCCTTCGCATAAAATGAGCAGTCACCCTTCCTCGCCCTCTGTGCGCACACGGCTCGTCTCCCTTGGGTAAATTTTCGTATTTAAAATATATGACCAAGAAATGTTAAAACATTATTTTTTAATTTTATATAAGCACAGAAATTGGTTTTTTTGCTTTAGCTTTAAGAAAGAGTTCAGTTCAGTTATGTATTTTTTATTCACGTTTTGAACGTATAAAAATATTCCGTTTGTAGCAAAAACTCAACTCGTATTAGACGAACAGCTTAAGTGTGTGGTGAGCCGTGCGTTCAGCATTGAGAGATTGTGAGTTGGAATCTGAATTGCTTTGGATTGTATTTAATGGAGAACGGATAGAATGGATAGAGTTGGATAAGTACGGATGAAGCCGGATGATAATAAAAATAAACCATTTCAAATGTTAAAAGGGGCCTAAAGATTAACAGACTTAATTTAAATGAAGAAGATTGAATACGGATAATGCCGGATAAATTCGGATAATATGATAAATTGATTAACAATAAGCTGAAATAAATTTAAAGCTGAGAAACGTTTAATTTGAATGAAAATGTGCACTGCCGGATATGAACGGATAAAGTCAAAATTAATATAAATTCTAACACAGATGAATTCGGATAATTTAATTAATTTGCCAAATAAATTCTGCTAAATATTTTAGATATAGATCCAAAATTGCTTAAATGAAAACGGATAAATGCGGATAATATGATAAATTTAATAACTAGCAAACGAGGAGAGCATAACAAATATATCACTGATAAAAAACAGAAAGCAGTAAATATGGATCCATAAAATACTTTGATAACAAAACGTGTTGACAGAGCAGGAGGTGGGGCTCAACGTCCCCATGATATCGGATAATTGGGCTGTACCTTGAAGTGTGTTTCACACGAGCACAGAACAGTCGTAAAGCGTTTTCTCTGCCATCCAATCTACAAGCCGAAAAGTATTCACTTGATATCAAATTGACATTTTCGATGTGTGCAATTGCAATTATAAAATCTTAAATGGGCTCATAAAATCATAATCAGTCAATAAACGACATTAACAAAATTATAGAAAAATTATTCTTATATATAGAATTAGCTATTGATACTCTACAATTTCAAGTATATGGAGTCTATGTCAGATTCACTCGAAAGTCCATAATAATTTCTTATCTATATCTCTCAACTCTGATGCATTCTCTCTTACACTTCTTTAAGTTTCGTTGGCTCTGAGTGTCCATAGCTCGAGGCGTCTGTGTGTCACTTACATCGTTACTAGTTGGCTTTACCCTGGAGTAGGGTATACCATGTTGTTGTTAGGACCGATTAGATAAATTAATTTTGGTTGTTGGATTTCAGTTTATAAAAAAGGTTCCGCAGCAGCAATGGTGTCCCAGTCGAGAGGCAGCTACAGAAACAGTAAACAGCAGTTGAGATAGCGAATTCAAATGGCCAAGACTGTGACAAGTGCTAATCGGGTATGGCAGGTACTGCTGCTGCTGTTGGCTGCAGCCGGGATAAGTCAACAGGTCGGTTTGTCACTCCAATAAAAGTAAGCAGCACATCTTAAGATGGGTTTTTGCAGGCGACCCTTCGTGAGGCCAGCGAGGACTTCTATACTGCCGCCGTTGTGGAGTTTAGTCAGGCCGATGGAGCCGATCTGACCGCGAATCTGGCTGACAACTTGGCGGGGTATTTAGAGCTGATCAACTCACCAAATGCCACTGCGGCGGATATCATGGTCTTCCCGGAGATGACCCTCAACACCATGAATTCGATTACTTATGTGCCTGCGCCCGAGAAAAAGGCCACACCCTGCTTGGACGACCCCTCGGCCGAATACTACGATCCATTTTTTGTGGAGATCTCCTGTGCGGCTCGTAATGTCAAAAGATATATTGTGATCAACATCAATGAGAAACAACTCTGCTCCGACACACCCGAGGACACGCGTCCTTGTGCCTCCAATGGACATAATATCTTCAATACGAATGTTGTCTTCGATCGCAATGGAACTGTTGTCTCCAGGTATCGCAAGGTTCATCTGTATTTGAATGAGCCCAGGAACACGACAGTTGTGCCGGAGGTAGAAACCTTTGAGACGGACTTTAATGTGACCTTCGGACATTTCATTTGCTTCGACATCGCGTTCTATGTGCCAACCCTTGAGCTGGTTGAGAAACATGGCATTCGGGATTTTGTCTATACAATTAAGTGGCACTCACAGCTGCCGTTTTTTACAGGTATGACTAGGTTACAATCAGATACTGACTATCCTTGCTTCTCACTTTCTAATTCATTTAATACTATATATATACTTTTATCTCCTTCACTTCGTCTCTTTCATATCCCTCCCTTCCTACTATAGCGCTTCAAGTACAACTGGGCTGGGCTTATGCCAATGATGTGAACCTTTTGGCGGCTGGTGCCAGTCGCTTGGAGTACGGCAGCACCGGCTCAGGCATATATAATGGAAGAAAGGGAACTCTCACCAGCGTGATTAAGCTGGACGAAGGCGAGCGCCGCATCTATGTGGCCCAAGTTCCCAAGTACAAGAAGACAGAGCCGCAGCGACAGCATCGAATCGCCAGGCAGGTTCAGAAACGTGTCCGTGAGCCCACTCCGGAACAGAAGACCCAGACCACCAGCTCAGGATTTGTGATGACTCGGGACTACCTCGAGCAGTATAAGACCTTGTGGCTAGATCAGTCGTTGGCGGGCAGCATGAAAGCTGACGTTTGCCATGGAAAGCTCTGCTGCCACTTCGAGCTGGAGTGGAACCCACTGGAAACCGAAGCAGGCGATGAAAGCAGCTTCGGCTATCGCCTAGCTGCCTACGATGGCTGGCGGAATCAGCCGAATGTAGATCCCAACTATGTCCGTAACTGCGGCATCTTTGCCTGCAGTGGAGTGAGCATTGACGACTGCGGATACATGTTGAGCGCTGAGCAATTTCGGCTCAACTTAAGCCGAATACTCATTGAGGCCAAGTACCCGAAGTCTCAGGAGATCCTCCTCATGCCAAACAGTGTGAGGGACAATCTAATGCCCCTAGAGCCAGCGCAGTTCGAATGGTCTGTCCAGGAGGAGGAGAAAAGGTGAGTCGAGGTTGGAAGTGCTACTCACTGGGATTGGAACCTTATAGAACCGAACTCCTTCTTAATTTCAGTCATCTGTTGAGTGCGCGCTTTGCACTAGCTAAAACTGAGGCGCTATCTAACCTGTTAGCCTTCGCTATCTTCGGCAATTACTACGACGAAGTGTGTACCTATGGCACGGGCACTCCGGAGAAGGACATTCAATGTGGCTATAAGCCCACTGACGATGGGGCAGCTGAGCTGCGTTTCTTTGCCAGTTGGTTGCATTTGCTTCTGGCTGTGGGCTTCGTGTACTACCTTAGAAATTAATGCTTCTATCTGAAGAAGTAGCCCTTTCTACCTTGATAACTATGCACAGGGTAAATAAAGAAAAGCTCAACCCAAAGGCAAAGAAATTAAATCTTGGGATAGGTCTCAAGTGTTAATCGAAACTTTATACGTTAATAAATGAAATTTGGCTCGATTTGAACCAAGACTCTCATGAACTAATTGAATACGAAATAGATTTCGCTTAAGTTTTGTTCTTTATTGGTTATTTGGTAATTGACATTCCATCAATATCACTAGGTACTTCGATCTTTGGCTCTCAATGGGTGTGTGACTGATAAGAACAACTATAAAATAAAATGCCATATTTTGTTTTATCAGGTAAATTGGGCTAAAGCATGATTAATGCCGCATGAAAATAGATATTATGAATGCTTTAGATGATGATGAAACTACTGCAAATTGAAGTTTACAATATAAAGACTCTGCGCTAAGCATATTAAATACGTGCTGAGGTCTACCAATCCCACAGACGATTATCAAATTTTAATGGCTCCCTCCTTGAGGTCATGGCAAATGGAGCAAAGCTATATATCGTTCACAGTTTACAATCTTCAAGTCTTATTTATATATTGTTTTAGGCTGATAGAACCACACCCGCCTGCAATAAGCTGAAACTTCTTCAGCTTGTGGAGCTGCATCACTGTTGACCTTAGCTACAGACGAGCTTGGAAGCCATATACGCTGCCAATCAGTGCATGACAGGTTTGAGCTCTTGCGAGCTTTTCTATATGCAGAAGTCAAACCACATACCTTACATAAATCAGGTGGCTAACAACCCATCACAGAGATCAGCTATGTGATCCTCAAGCACAACATAAACTTTTTTAAGGGGCGTTCAGCTTTGAGGTAGTCCACATTGTTAGGCACACTGCCTTACAGCAGGCAGTAGAGTCAGGTAAGTAGCTACAGCAGAGCAGAGGAAAGGAAAGGAATAGGACCTCTCCGTCAACTGTCGACACTCACCGACGTCGCAAGCTTCATGGCATGCCTCAACACAAGCAATATAGTTACAGCTCAACAAATATCGTTCCTTTCGACTTCTTGAAGCACTTCTCACTTCTTAAGACTTCGTTGAACAATCTATGAATGATGTAGCCATAAGCTTCAGCTATTGCTTCGTATGATCGATCGTCTTTTCAATATAGCTTTATGACACAGTCAAAATATTTAGATAAGATTTTTGTGATAATATTTGCAATTACCATGATAGGTCCATATAACTGGAATACTAAAGAATAGTTCATTTTATGACAAGTTAAATTACTCGCAAGATTTAATATTATTGCTAATGCTGATAAGATTGAAGAGTTTCGGTCTTATAAAAGAGATTCCTCATCGCCGACTACACATCAGTTAAACATTTGCCACGACTTGATTCGGCAACAGAAATCAAAACGAAAATTGATACGAAAATTAAATGGCCAATCCTTTGAAGAAACCAAATTCGCGGTGGCCGTTGTTTCTGCTGCTACTTGTTGGAGTCGGCATTAGTCAGCAGGTGACCTTAAAGAGCCCTGACGATTCTTCTAATCTAATCAAATGCTTGGCTTTTACAGGCGTCCGTCCCTGAATCGGCCAGCGAGGACTTCTATACTGCCGCCGTTGTGGAGTTTAGTCAGGCCGATGGAGCCGATCTGACCGCGAATCTGGCTGACAACTTGGCGGGGTATTTGGAGCTGATCAACTCACCAAATGCCACTGCGGCGGATATCATGGTCTTCCCGGAGATGACTCTGAATAGCGTGAATTCACTTACCTATGTGCCCTCAGTCGATAAGGTAGTAACACCCTGCCTAGACGATCCCTCGGCTGAAACCTATGAGCCATTTTTTGTGGAGATCTCCTGTGCGGCTCGTAGTGTCAAAAGGTATATTGTGATCAACATCAATGAGAAACAACTCTGCTCCGACACACCCGAGGACACGCGTCCTTGTGCCTCCAATGGACATAATATCTTCAATACGAATGTTGTCTTCGATCGCAATGGAACTGTTGTCTCCAGGTATCGCAAGGTTCATCTGTATTTGAATGAGCCCAGGAACACGACAGTTGTGCCGGAGGTAGAAACCTTTGAGACGGACTTCAATGTGACCTTCGGACATTTTATTTGCTTCGACATCGCGTTCTATGTTCCCTCCCGGGAATTGGTCGAGAAACATGGCATACGAGACTTTGTCTATCCACTTAAGTGGCACTCACAACTGCCGTTTTACACAGGTTAGTATAGTCTAATACTCTGAAAATACTAAAGTCTTAGGTCTTCTATTTACTACTACACTTTCCTTTATAGCTCTTCAAGTGCACCTGGGCTGGGCTTATGCCAATGATGTGAACCTTTTGGCAGCTGGTGCCAGTCGCTTGGAGTACGGCAGCACCGGCTCAGGCATCTACAATGGAAGGAAAGGAACTCTCACCAGCGTGATTAAGCTGGACGAAGGCGAGCGCCGCATCTATGTGGCCCAAGTTCCCAAGTACAAGAAGACAGAGCCAAAGCGTCAGCAACGAATCGCCAGGCAGGCTCAGAAACGTGTCCGTGAGCCGACTCCGGAACAGAAGACCCAGACCACCAGCTCAGGATTTGTGATGACTCGGGACTACCTCGAGCAGTATAAGACCTTGTGGCTAGATCAGTCGTTGGCGGGCAGCGTGAAAGCTGACGTTTGCCATGGAAAGCTCTGCTGCCACTTCGAGCTGGAGTGGAACCCACTGGAAACCGAAGCAGGCGATGAAAGCAGCTTCGGCTATCGCCTAGCTGCCTACGATGGCTGGCGGAATCAGCCGAATGTAGATCCCAACTATGTCCGTAACTGCGGCATCTTTGCTTGCACTGGAGTGAGCATTGACGACTGCGGATACATGTTGAGCGCTGAGCAATTTCGGCTCAACTTAAGCCGAATACTCATTGAGGCCAAGTACCCGAAGTCTCAGGAGATCCTCCTCATGCCAAATAGTGTGAGGGACAATCTAATGCCCCTCGAGCCAGCGCAGTTCGAATGGTCTGTCCAGGAGGAGGAGAAAAGGTAAGTCAAGAGACGTTTAGTTGCTCCTGCCTTTGTAATCCTTCGAGACTTTAATTTCAATTGCTTCTTCCTTTCAGCCATCTGCTGAGTGTTCGCTTTGCATTGGCTAAATCTGAGGCGCTGTCCAACTTATTGACCTTCGGAATCTTCGGAAATTACTACGATGAAGTTTGCACCTATGGCACGGGCACCTCGGAAGAGGATATTCTGTGTGGCTTTAAGCCCACTGACGATGGGGCAGCTGAGCTGCGTTGCTTTGGCACCTGGTTGCATTTGCTTCTGGCTGTGAGCATTATATTCTACCTGAGCCATTAGAGAGATCACAAACTTGAGCCTTAGTCTGTTTTATTAAAGACGTAGCTTGCCAAATATGCCTGGACTTGAACTCATTGATCTATGTTTGCTGAGTATCGGTCCCTGAGCTGGAATGGTCTATCTCAGCAAAGAGTGCATGACTGAGTTTTTATTACATCATGGGAATGGATAGATAGGGATAAATAGATGTGTGATCCAAGTACCAGGAGTCATTGGTCTGGTCAAAAGTGATGCACTCTAAGTATCATTATGCTTAAAAGTATGCAATCCTTAGGTCTATCAGTTCTCGAATCGATAGATAACATGAAAATAACAAAGAGAGAGAGCGAGAGATAGAGCGAATTAGAAAGAGAGAGTGAGTGAGAGCAGGTCCGAGTATTATACGTCAAAAGTTGAAGCTTCAGTAGCCGACTTAGACATACCCTGTAAATATACATGAGGACTAGAAGACAAACCCGACCTCTCTCTTACGAGCCCACATCTGTAAGTGGAAGCTGTGCTAAATCAGTTCACATTTGGTCTTAGCTAGATAAGCTTAAGTTTAGTAGTAGACTATGCAATACCCTGTACTTCAAAGAGCAAGTCTCTTATGAGTCAGTGTCTCGAAAAGTCACTAGTCGCCCAATTAATACCCTGCATTGTTGACAATCATGAGAGTTCCTTTATCTTATAGTAATTAGCATAATATTCCAATACCCTATAAATACCACATTCTGGAGCTGTAGCTCTGGCAGTCAAATAGTTTCAGTGGCCTAGCCTGCCCTAGAGGGCGTGACTGATAAGCGCAGTTAATAGACATCCATAAAAATATACTTAGATAAGAGAGAGTATCGACAGCCGTAACGATCATAAATCCATTATATCGGATAATTGGACTGTAGCCTGATAGCTGTCGCATATATATTTATATACACATGGGTAAAGCCAATCGAAGTAGCTGCTTAAATAGTTTGTTCTACTGTCCAATGTACAAGCCCCAAAAATCGCCGAGTTATCAATTTATGCATTCGCCATACGCATGAAAACATCGAAAAAGGTGACATACAAATTTGATTTACACAAGAAATAGACGATACTCTATAACTAGGGGTATGTAGGATGTCCTGAAGATGGCTAACAGAGATATAAATACAAGATATATCACTCCTATCAACTTAATCAAGACCGTTAGGCAAATAAAGCTGCCTAATAAAGATATAGGGCGTGCTTCCCAGATCTCTTATTGATGCCCATTTTTAGTATTTGCTGATGTTTTTGCACCACTGTGCGCGGGTGAGCGATCATCTTGAAAATAATTTCAGACATTCTACTCGCTTGCAAAATATCCAGATAGCCGAATGCTATTCGACAAATCGAAGCTTAAATACTCTACGATATCAATCTGAAACTCTCTGAACGAGATTCTATATCTGCTCTAAAGAATCTTTATAGATATTTTTGATCCAATTTGATATAGTTTTTGAGATATTCGTGGCATAGAGCGAGACTGTAGCTTAAGAGAGATTCTTTCTAGAGGGGCATATCTATATATATCTATGATATATATTTGAAATTTATTAAGTGAAGTCTAGTCTAAAGAGTTTCCTTTATAGGGAGGGTATTATATTCTTCAGCTCTATAATAATTATTGCTATGATCTGTCTGAACTCGTTACATCGTTTTACTTTACTGGCCTAGACGATCTATGTGAGTCCTATTGAAAAGTGTAGTGCAAACTGTTGTTAGTGCTGATTAGATAAATGATTTTTGGGTTTTGGATTTCGCTATAAAAGATTTCCGCATCGGCAACTGTGTGTCAGTTAAGCATTCGGCGACGCGCAAGGCAACAACAGCTATAGAAACCCAAATGGCCGAGCGTGTGACAAGCGTTAGTGGGCTGTGGCAGCTGCTGCTGCTGTTGGCTGTTGGAATCAGGCTGAGTCAGCAGGTGGGTTAGCAGCCCCGATAAGCGTTAGCGGCTAATCGCAAGTTGGGTATTCGCAGGCGTCGATCGGTGAATCGGCCAGCGACAGTTTCTATACGGCCGGCGTTGTTGAGTTTCGTCAAGCCAATGGCTACGATGCCAATGCGAATCTGGCCGACAATTTGGCTGGCTATTTGGAGTTGATCAACTCCCCAAATGCCAGCTCTGTAGACATCATGGTCTTCCCTGAGATGACCCTCAATGGCCTAAGTACGGCCAGCTTTGTGCCGTCGCCCGATGAGGAGGTAACACCCTGCCTAGTCGATCCCTCGGCCAACTACTTTGAACCGTTTCTGGTTGAGCTCTCCTGTGCGGCTCGTAGTGTAAAAAGGTATATTGTGATCAATATCAATGAGAAGCAACTCTGCTCCGACACACCCGAGGACACGCGTCCTTGTGCCTCCAATGGACTAAATACCTTCAATACGAATGTTGTCTTCGATCGCAATGGAACTGTTGTCTCCAGGTATCGCAAGGTTCACTTGTATGGCGAGCCAAGGAATAGCACTTTCGTGCCAGAGTCAGTCAGCTTTGAGACGGACTTCAATGTGACCTTCGGACATTTCATTTGCTTTGACATCCTCTTCTATGCTCCAGCACATGAGTTGCGTCTGAAGCAGGGCGTTCGGAACTTCGTTTTTCCGACCATGTGGTTCTCTCAGCTACCGTTTCTCACAGGTGAGTTCAAGTTGAGTTAAGTAAGTAAGTTGAGTTAAGTAAGTAGCCCTTTCCCTCTTTCCCTTTTACAGCTGTTCAAGTTCAGATGGGCTGGTCTTATGCCAACGATGTGAATCTTTTAGCTGCCGGCGCCAGTCACACGGAGTACGGCAGTACTGGAACAGGAATCTTTAATGGAAGGCAGGGAACTATCACTAGTGTTATGAAGTTGGACGAAGGTGAGCGTCGCATCTATGTGGCCCAGGTGCCCAAGTTCCAGAGCTCAGAGGTTAAGGGACGTCGACATGTCTTGAGTCAGATTCACATGGCAGGCCAGAAGCAAAGACTTAGCCAGAGTCAAGAGCAGAGCTCGCTAGCCCGAAGTAGGTCGGGATTCGTGATGAAGCGGGATACACTTGAGCTGTACGAGAGCGTACTACTGCCGCAGGAAAGCAACGTGACAAAGGATGTTTGCCATGAAAAACTCTGCTGCCATTTCGAGTTGGAGTGGAGTCCAGTCGATACAGGAGCTGGCAATGAAAGCACTTTCGGTTATCGCCTAGCTGCCTACGATGGCTGGCGCAATGAGCAGGATGTGGATAATAACTATGTGCGCAATTGCGGCATCTTTGCCTGCAGCGGTCCCAACATTAAGGATTGCGGCTTGCTGCTGAAGGCGAATGACTTAAATCACAACTTTAGCCGGTTGCTCATTGAGGCCAAGTATCCCAAGTCTCAAGAGTTTCTTCTGATGCCAAACAGTGTGAGGGACAATCTGTTGCCCCTCGAGCCATCGCAGTTCGAGTGGTCTGTCCAGGAGGAGGAAAAGAGGTGAGTCGTTGATCCTGCCTTTGTCCTTCATATGTGACCTCACTTGTAAGATCCCAGAATTCTATGATACTGATGCATTGCCTTCCTCCTTCCAGCCATCTGCTGAGTGTGCGCTTTGCCCTAGTTAAAACTGAGGCGCTGTCCAACCTATTGACCTTCGGAATCTATGGGAATTATTACGATGACATTTGTACCTATGGCACGGGCACCCCGGAGAAGGATATTCAATGTGGCTTTAAGCCTATTAATGATGGCGCCGCCGAGCTGCGCTTCTTTGCCAGTTGGTTGCATTTGCTTCTGGCTGTGGCTTTAATAGTTCACCTTAGAAATTAGAATCTTTATCTGTTTAATTTTTCTGTGGGGAAGATCTTTGGCAGCAGGATGCGGGTCTACGGGCCAAGCCATAAATAATTTTAAAGATATTCTGGAATTCATTATGAAGCTTTGAAAACTTATATATTATAGTTACATTTAGACTAAAGTAAGAAAGCCTCAAGCTAACAAGAAAATTGGGTTGAGTCGTGAATTAGGTCTTAGGTAATATTCTTTGTAAGGCTCAATGATAAATTAATACATATACTTTTCATATATTTCTCTATAAAGCTGAGCTGTTTTTTAATAAACTCTTTTGGTTCATATTTTTCGGTTCGGAGTTGGTTCAAATATTTTGCTTATGTATTGTATATGTATTGTTGAGTCAGTTCTTGGATCTGGTTCAGCTCAACAATTCCAGTTCAAGTTGAACCAGTTCATGGAATACAGTGAACTAGCTCATGAAACATAACTAACAAGCTCATTTCATTGATTTCAATAAAGCCCAAAAGTAATCAGTTCTATGAGTTGAACCTGCTCTTGGATCTAGTTCAGTTCCAGTTCAAGTGCTACTACTATAGAGCTGCTGTATTGTTATGTGCAAGCTCAAAGCTGTGTAGTGTTATTAGTAGAACCAGTTCATAGAATAGTGTCAACTAGTTCAGCTCGTGGAACATCTTATGGATTCGCATGAGCCTAAAAGTAGACAGTCCTATCAGCTGAACCAGCTCTTGGAATAAAATAAGTTAGTTCATTGAATATTTAGAGCCTTTTCAGTTCGGAACTAGTTAAGCTCTTTGAGTAGCTCTAATTAGTTCAGCACAAATTATAGGAAAAACAAGTTAAGCCCATGACTCGTTCAGCTTATGGAACTAGTTGAGCTAATGAATAAATATAGCTAGTTCAGTTGAATAGATCTTAAGCATTGAGTTTATCGTGAAAGCCTAAAAGTATGCAGACCTTGAGCCTAGTCCGAAGGGCTTCATAAATCATATTGCAGAGACGATAACAATAGGCAACGGTCATAAACCGCAGTCTCCGATACGAACGATAAGATAGAAATAACAAAGAGAGAGAGAGAGAGAGAGAGAGAGAGAGAGAGAGAGAGAGAGAGAGAGAGAGAGAGATAGAGAACGCGAGTGACTGAGGCGAATCGTCTGCAGTCTGTCGAGCACATCATGTGTGGCAAGTGCGTGCTGCTCCTGCAATTGCTGTGCGCTGCTGTGGCTGGCTGTGGTGCAGCCGGCAGGGATTACTATACGGCGGGCGTGGTGGAGTTTCGTCCGGCTGTTAGTGGTGGCAGCTCCGAGCAGCTGCTCGAGGAGAATCTGGCGGCCTATCTGGAGCTGATAGACGCCGCCAATGGCACTGCGGACATTCTGATCTTTCCGGAGGGCACGCTGAATAGTCAGCTGCAATTGACGGCGGTGCCGGCGCCGTCGTGGCGCAGTCTGTGCCACATTGTGGTTGCACCTGTCGATGGCGTGGCCACGTTTCTGAGACATCTGGCGTGTGCCGCCGTCGCCGCCGAGAGCTATTTGGTGCTGAACGTGAAGGAGCGCGAGCGCTGCGACCGAGACGCCGATTGCCCCCCTCGCGGCTTTCGACTCTACAACACGAATGTGGTGCTGGATCGCAGCGGTGCGGTGGTGTCGCGTTACCGCAAATGGAATCTGTATCTGGAGCCGCAACTGAATCGCACTCCGGAGCCGGAATACGCCATCTTCGAAACGGACTTCAATGTGACCTTCGGCCACTTCATATGCTTCGATATGCTCTTCCATACGCCCGCCCAGGAGCTCGTCGAGCGCTACTCTATTCAGCATTTGATAGTCACCAAGATGTTCAAGTCTGAGCTGCCCTTTCTCACAGGTGAGCGGGTGTCACGACTGAGGAATACCCTGTAGTTGCGCTGCTCTTGCTGGCTGTGAAACTAGTCGAGTAGTCAAAGTAGTCGACTCACAAATACCCTTTACTAAGAAGTTCAGTTGACAGTAAAATATGAGGCAGTGAGTAATGAACTCAGAAATACCCTGTAGTTAAGTCAAAAGGTTTCCTTGTACAACGGAAATTGTTGAATTCGATTTTCATTTATTAGAGACTGAGTAAAAGCCAAAGTAGTCGACTCGAAAATACCCTGTAGCGAGTTGTGAAGTCTGTTAGCTGATAAAATTTATAATTTTGGCAGATAGTCGACTAAGGAATACCCTGTACTTTGTGTGACTCACATATTTTTTAGTTAGTTGACTTGCAAATACCCTGTATTGATATCTGAAGTCTCTTAAATGATAGAATTGACATTTTCGTCAGATATTCGACTAAGGAATACCCTGTACTTTATGTGACACATATTTTTTTAGTTAGTTGACTTGCAAATACCCTGTAATGATATCTGAAGTCTCTTAAATGATAGAATTGACATTTTTGTCAGATATTTGACTAAGGAATACCCTGTAGTTTATGTGACTCACATATTTTGTCAGTCAGCTGACTTGCAAATACTCTATACTGACATCCGAACTCTCTTAGTTGATATAATTTGAGATTTTGTCAGACAGTCGACTTAAAGATACCCTATAGTAAGAGCTCTGCAGTTACTTACAAGACATGATTTGCATTTTCGCCAAATAAATTTGAATTACTTTACCTCAGCTAGCTTATGGCATTCTATACCCTATATATATCTCAATCTGAACAATGGCAACGATAACAATTTCATTTGTACTGGCCATACAATTGAGCAATTCCGTCTAGACGTGTCGACTTCATAAATATTGTCTTTGATAAGAGAGTATCTAAATTGTGGCGGATTATTTCAGTCTAATCTGTTGGCTTTATTTTCCTATTCCGCCTTTCAGAAGAACTTCTTATCTGATTATAGAGAAAGGTTCTGTCAGCTTCTATTATGTAAATCTACTTTCTTATCAGCCTCAGTTTCGGGTCATTTGTTGGTATTTACCATTTGTCTTCCCTATAAAGTTCATCGACAGTTTATGCACGAAGTAACTTCACTGTAATTCTCGCTTTCTCCTAAAGTTATTGATATTACTAACTATCTACTTACTTGTGTGGTTCCTTGTAACTTCATTATAGCTATTAGCTGACTGTCTTGTAACTTGTAAAAGTTTCTCTTTACCTTTGTTAGCAATGAATGTTTATTGGAAGTTTCTTGTAAATGTTCGCTCTTCTTGGGTGAGTTCCTTGTAACGCGCAAGCAAAGTTGCTGCTAATTATCTATTGAATGCGCTGAGATTTCATGGCAAGTTAAGTTAACTTTCTCTTGACAATGGAAGCTCCTTGTAAGTTTCATTTTACTCACGAAGTAAAGTTTACTTTAGTTATTTGCAGCTTCCTTGTAATTACTTGTAGCTTCCTTGCAAAAGTCCTGAAAATTTCTTGTTAGTTTCCAACTGCCTGGCAAGTGACTTGCAACTAGATTGTAAACATTTACGAGTTGCTGGCAAGGTTCATTGTAACTGTCAAGCAGATATTTCCTGTTACTCTTAATAATGCCTTCGTAACTTTAAGGAAAGCTCTTGGCAAGTTCATTGCAACTGCCTTGTAACTTTACCAGCCGGCAATTGTCATTGAAAATGTTCATTCGTTCACATTTAACTCTCTTGCAGCGAGCCAATTTCAACAGGGCTGGGCGTGGGCCAACAATGTGAATCTGTTGGCAGCTGGCGCGAGCTTGCCCCACGGCGGCATCAGTGGCAGCGGCATCTATGCAGGACGTCGCGGTGCCCTCGTGCGTCGCATGGTGGGCGACACGCACGTTGGCCAGCGGCAGCTGTTGCTGGCACGTGTGCCGCGTTATCCCCAGTTGGAGCAGGAGCTGGGGCCGGAGCTGGAGCTGGATGTGGAGCGTGCGGGGCCAGCGCAGAGGCAGCTGGCGATGCTGCAGCAACCGCAATTCGAGGACTTTACCAGTTCGCTGGTGCCGCTGCTCAATGGCAGCAGGCAGCAACAGCGCCTCTGCCAGCAGGATCTCTGCTGCGACTTCGAGCTGCAGCTAGAGCTGCCAGGCGATGCCACGCAGCCGGAGTACAGCTATCGCGTGGGCGTCTTCGTGGGCCAGCGGCGCTACGAGGAGGAACAATATAGCGTGGTCAGACTGTGCGGTCTGTTTGCGTGCCGCAACGAGAGCGTTTACAGTTGCGGCCAACTGGCGACGGAGGAGGCAGCGGAGCCCGCGGCGAACAGTCGCCTCGTTGCATTCAGCTGGCTGCGTATTCGCGGCGAGTTCGTGCAGCGCCGGCGACAACTGCTCATGCCCAGCACGCTGAGCGCTGCGCTCTATGCGCTGCAGGCGACCGAATTCGAGTGGGCGTGGCTGGGCGCTGACAGCGCCGTGACACGTGTGGAGCTGAAGCTGAGAAAAACCCACACACAACTGCTGACCTTTGGCATCTATGGCAACTACTTTGATGAGTTCGCTGACGATGGCCTGCCAGGGGGCGGTGGTGGCGGGGCGAGGGGCGTGGCTGTGGCTATGCCGTGGCAGCAGCTGCTGATGCTGCTGTTGCTGCTGTCTTATCACGGGGGCTAACCGCTACGCAAACACTTTGCTGATTAGTTCTAATTGGAAATGCGGGCGCAGGCGACAAAACTGTCGAAATTGTGGTTGATAAGAGGAGTGTGGAGAGGACACAGAGTGAGAAGAATCCTTTTTTTTTTTTTTTGTTAAACAGAATTTTCTTATTTTAGATATAACGATGATATAAATATGCAAATGATATTATATAAAAATAATTTAGTTTTATATACATTATAAATGGGAGCTGGCTTTGTTAAAATATATGTGACAAAATAAGGGTAAGTAAGTTTCGAATAATCGATAATTATTTCCGTTTCCGTGAAATCGATCAAGGACTTTATTGCATAGGGGTTATTTAAGCATATATCATACATCTTTCAAGCTAGTGTTTCCTAATTTTAAATTTAGGTTGATGTTTATTAGATTCAATTTTGATTTATCTTTCATTACGGATAACAACTCCAAGCTTAGAAATATTCTTGATATTAAGGTTTAGTTGTAAATATAGCGAATACGCAAAACACTTTTAAATTTTTTATGAAATGTTTCATATGCAGTAGAATATGCAGATCATGTACTGAAAATTTCATTGAAATCGGATAAATAACACAGAAGTTATTAAGGAAAACGTGCGGGAAGACCACATGGCAATCAGCGCCAAGTGAATTTGCATTATGCAAGTGCACACATACATACTTGCATACTTATTTACATACAAACATCAAAATACATGTACTTTCTTTCGAATTCTATAAATAGAATCAGAATTGCCATTGAATTGTGCTTGGGTTCGGGCACCACGAGCAGGCGTCGTGCGCGATCGCGTAGACTCGAGCTCGTGTTCCGACGAAAGCAAATTAAATTGTTTCAATATGTACTTAACTTATTTCTATGCCCCTAATTATGGTCTCTAAATAGTCAGTAGGTTAATTTTAGGCAGGCTGCACTGAATAATGCATGTATTGTGTGTGAATCATGAGCCTGCTTCGACGCAACGTTTCTGTCACGTTTGTCGCCTGGCAGAGCTCATTAAACGCGACATTGGCGCCGAGCCTGCTGCATGTGTGTGTGTGCAAGTGTGTGTGTACATATAAAGAAGCTGCGGTTTGCTATTGTTGTTGCTGTTGCTGCTGGTAAGCTTGCAGCGAATAGTAATTAAGTGACACACACACACCCACAGAGGCACGCAAAAACATGCAAGCACAAACATGCACATGTCAAATAACGGTAACGGGCCAATTGATATTAAATGCATGCAGTTAGATAGCAGGCGACAGCAATATCGAGAACGGTGTCAAGTTCATGTCATTAAGGTGTGATTAACAAAAATTAGTTGCTGCTTAACACTCACACTCACAATCCCAATCACACTCACACACACACTTTCTCATGGCAGCGCAACAGTGCGAATTGCTGCTTATGCGTGCGCCTGGAAAGCAGACACTCACACACATCTACGTAGAGCAGGTGTATTAGAGGCGCGCAACATATGAAGTCGCACATCGCTGCTAGCGTCGCTGCCGGCGTCGCTGCCGTTAAAAACGTTTCATTCATTTCAACTGTTGCTCCCCACTTGTTAGCACCAATGAGACTGGAAAGCGCTGGCACGAGTGGCCGACGCGTAAGCCGAATGTCGAATGCCGAGTGCCGACTGCTATGGCATTCCAGCAGGCAGTTTTGGAGAGCGTCCACCTGAAGCAGAAGGTCGTGCTCGGTGCGTGTTCTGTGTAGAGTTTTTGGGCGCCATAAACCCACACACACACACACAGACACACCGAGGCAGAGACAGAGACATGTGCACATGTATGCGTTGTGTAGACTGCGTTATATTTGCATTAAATTATTCAGCAGGAAAATATTTTATGAAGCGCAGACAAGCAGCAACAGACCAAAAAGCTGCTGCGCTTTTTGCCAACTGAAATGCAATTAAAAAGCGCAGTAGCAGCAGCAGCAGTCATAGCAGCAGCGACTGTGACAGCGACGGTGGCAGCGAGAACGACGCACATCGTGTGCTCTTCGGCTGCGCTGTTCGCTAATGCTGCCGCTGTCGCTGTCGCTGCCACTGCCACTGCCACTGCCGGCGTCGCTGCCAATGTTAACGCGTTGTGTTGCGTGGCGCGCTACGTCGCATTCAGCGACTGCCTTCGACCAGTAGGCGTTCAGCCTCCGAGCGGATAACATTGCGTTGTTGTTACTTCTTGGAGACAGCCAATCAGAAGCGCTCAACACTCAAACTAACTCAAAGTACCGTTCAATTTACGATTGAGTTCGATTTCGAGTTCCGTTACTTGAAGTCGTGCGTTCAAAACCAAACAACAACAAGAAATTACGTTTTTTGAGCCAGTTCATGTGTGAGTGTGTGTGTGTGCAGCAAAGATTTTAGAAAAATTTGAAGAAAATATTTAAAATCAAAAATTCGCATTGGAAATTTTTTCGAAAATCATTAAAGGCGCGCGAAAAATAAGGAAATTTCTTTTGTTGCCCATTGAAAAACTCGAAGAAAATTGTTGCTGTTTTTTTTTGTTGTCTTTTTTTTTGGGTTCTTGTTGATACAAAATAAATAAATACTAAAAGTTGCAAAGTTTGTTTGTGTATTAAACAAATATACACGCCTACATATATATAGAAATATATATATACGATTTTTTGTTGTTGTGTGCGAGCGAGAAAGCTATAGACCAAAGAACAAAGAAAGCAAATAAAGGTAAATTCTTGAAATGAAAAAAATAACAAAAATTTTTTTAAACAAATTTTCAGCTGAATTTTTGAGTGATTTTTTTTTAAATTGTGATTAGAGTTTTCTACTGTTGCTGCTGCTTCTTCTTCTGATGGTTTGAAGGCTGCATTTAAAGTCCTAAAGGCCAGTGTCGTTAAAATCTGGAAAAGTTTATAATATTTTAAGTGAATATTTGACATACAAAATGTTGATAAAGCAAAAATTCAAAAATATTTCGAATTTGTTAAAAAAAATTTTAAAATAATTAAAATAACTTTGTCTACATTTTTGTTAAATACTCTAAATATTTTGGGATGTAGTTTTCATTTGGGTTTGGCCTTGATCTAAATTTGCGTTTGTTATGTTTTCGAATTTCAAAAATTGTTGCCAAAACTCTTCAAGCTTCGCAAATCAATAAGCTTTAGGCTCAAGCAAAAGTAGAAAATAGTTTGAATTTTCTTCAAATTTGCGAAATTTTAACTATTTCCAAAAGAAAAGCCATGGAAATGTGGGAAAACCACAAATGCAAAACTTAAACAACTTAACTAAAAAAACTTTGGGAACGAAAACTTTTTAAGCTATGGATTCGAGCTGCTTTCTTTCTCTTGAAGATGCGGTTAGAGCTTGTGTGCGGGATTCGAACTCTCATTTCGACTATTTCCGTGCTGTGAAACATGTTTGTAAATGAAGGTGTATACCCTGTTAATATGAGCAGCAGAGGGCATTTCAGCTTTATACTTTATATTCAGCTCTAATTGTTACAGCTTAGATTGCTATGCCTATTAGAGGCCAGGAATTACTTAAGACTTTCATTTATTCATAAAAATAAATTTGACAGCTAAAATTTAACGTCTTAGCTAAATGAGCAGGCGGTAGTCAGTTATACCCCACTGCTCGAAGATTCTATTTGAATACATAATTGCAAATATCTTTAGACCCTTAAATGATATTTAATATGCTATTTAGTTGAAACAATTCTTCCACAAATTTGGAACCGAATGGAAACAGAAAAAAAAAACAATTTTGGTTTTAGCTAAAATAAAAATTTTTACAGCTTTATTTTTAGAAATAAATAAACTTGCAAAAACATGTCAAAATTTAAATTTTTATATAAATATATAATATAAAAAAAAAAACAATTAATACGAAATAAAAATAAATAAAGAAAATAAAATAATTAAATAAAATTAAAAAAAAATTAAATAAAATAAAAGAAATAAATAAACAAAATAGAAATAAATTAAAAATAATATAATATAATAATAATATATTTGAATTTGAATGGAAATAGAAATGTTGTATAGAAATATAAAAATTTCTAGTTTAAATATATAAATAAATTTAATATTATTTTTAACAAATTTGTTTATTGTCTAGTATAAGACAGATTGCAAATAAAAAAGCAATAAAAAAAAATATATATATATAAAAGAAATAGCTCTTAAAAATTCTAGTTTCTAAATATATTAGCTTGTTTTCAAAATTGAGATATCAAGCTGAAAAATATTTTTGGTTTTAATACAAATTCTTAAACTTCAAGACATTTTGAATGGAAAATGAAACAGAATTGCTAAAATTTCAGAGGAGTTACTAACGGTAACGAAAGATGCGAAAAGAATATTGAAATAATTTTGTAATTGGAAATTTAATAAATTTGATAAGAGTTTAGCTGGGATTTGATGCATATCTATGAATATTATATAATTTTGATTTTGTTGTCTTGGACAACCTTTTTTTGCTGTTAACTGAATCATAAAACTGTAAATTTTCCGCTTAATGTAATTTCATTTGGGTTAAGATTTTTTCTTAGTTCGTTCGCCCCTGCTTTTTCGTCTTCCTCTTCTTCTTTTCTTGGGCCATTTGATGTTGTTGTTAACCTTTTTATTTCGGGGCGCACTTCCTGCTTCGCATTGCTTCATTTGCAGATTCGAAAGATTTCCTGCTTGTGGCTGGCTGCGGGGGTGGCGCCATCTGTTGCTCGAGTCGAGAGTTTTGTGTTTAACATCAAATCGTTTGTTTTTCCATTATTTCGTGCGCTTTCTCAATTGATTCTGCTGCACAGCCTGCGCTCAATCTTTCAACTAATTTATGTACATTTCGTTGTATCAAATCAATTTTTGGCTAACTGTGCGTATGATTAATATTTGCAAATATGCGCGAGAGAGAGAGAAAGAGAGGGAGAGAGCAACAAGATGGTCGGGAAGGCATATAAAAAGCAAAGCAAGTAAGCATATGGCTGCTCGGGTATGCTTGACGTCGGCATACGCTGTACAGTTTCACCCAATGTGGTGGGCGTTGAAAAAGTGGGCATGGCCACTGCAGCTACTCAACTGTGACACAGCGAATTGCTCCTATGAGGCATTGACATTGGCACTGTAATAGCCAAACTATGCTCAAGTCTCTTTAGCTCTGTTTAACAGGAATTTCAAACTGTAAACATTAAACTGGGAGCTCTTCAACAATATCGAATCCTCAATCAAATTCAATGGCTGTCCAACTGTAACTCTGCTCATTGAGAGCTCTAAAATTTAAGCTCAAACAATCTGGGCTTTGCAGGCCAGTAAAGCTCAAGTAGCTTGCTCTCAAACTGTATCTGAATCTTAAGCTGGCTCTCAAACTGTGAGACTCGTTCACCTTATATCATGAATCTATTATGAATATATATGAAAAATGTGAGTTCCGCTCTCACAATGACTCTTAAAAGTGGCACAGCTAAGACTGTGACTCCCAAACTGTGATTCTCAAACTGTTATCACCAATAAAAAAAAAACACTAATTTCTGCGTTTTATTAAGATATTTTTGTGATGAATCCTTTCTGCTGCGCTCAAGGCCTCTCGCTCTGTGACCCTCAAACTGCTTGAAGTCTGGCAACCTTGCGACATTTAGACAATGCTCAGCTGCCTCAGCCAATACGCCCCATTGCAGCACAAACAGTGCATAATGAGAGCAAGACACAAATATTGAAAACGCGAACAACGCGCGCTGCCTTAATTATTGGCCAAACGGCATTAAATTTTCAAGTATTTACTAAAGCTAAACAAAATACAAACACAACAACTACAACTACAACTACAACAGCAACAACAACAAACAAACAAACACAACAACAACAACAACAAACAAACAACAATAACAAAAATTGGGAAAAAATAGAAAAATTCTTTTTGTTCGATTTTTGCGATAATTCACTAAATTAACTCGAAACGGGCAATTGTTCCCGCCAACTGGCACGCCCCTCGCCCCTCGCCTCTCGCCCCCGCCACTTGATATATGTATGCCCCATGCCCAAGACGTGTGAATTTCGACCATGTGCCGCAGCAGCGTTTCATTCATTTAGCAACAATCGCTGCGTTCATATGGAGCGGGGCAACCGATGAGTGAACATAGATTGGGAGTATATATAGATCAGTCTATATGGGTATATGTGGTATATGCCTGGTATATATTACTTTATATCTAGGTATCCTCATTTACCTAGAAAACTTTTCATCATGCAACTTGGCTCTATATAAATGTATAGCTGTCTATATATCTATATATATAGATCCCATTCACATCAAAATCTAGAGCTAGACATGTTAATTCAATTATTCTCGGTTCTCGAGATATTTAAAATGCATTAGAAATTTGTTAACTTTTTATAGTAGTTTTATCAATAGTTTTATCATTACTATTGTCATTATCATTGGCGTTATCTATAGTTTAGTTTAGATAAATATAACTAAGTTGGAAGTGTTTTGGCTTGGGAATAACTTCGAAGCCAATTTTCGCTCAAATATTTATGAAATTTTTTATTGAAATCAAGAATTCGAATTGTAGTTCGACTTCGAATTTCGATATAATACTCCCTCTCACTATATATATATATATATATATATATATCTGTATATGTATATGCCTTATGCAAACTAATTATGAGACTGAAAAATCATGTATTATACATATATCGTATATATTTAGTGTATGTATATTGTCTACTGTAAATATATCGTATGCAATGTATAAATATCGTTTACACATACAATATATACCACATATGACGCTATATCGTAAATAAATAAATTTAAAAAAATCTACAAAATATATTTATTATAGGTTATATTATTATAGATTATATATTATAGATTATATTATATATTCAAATATATATAATAACTTCTATATATCGTATTTCTATATATTGTAAATATACTTTGTATATATCGTGTATACATGGTAAAGGTTAATATATCGTACTACCTATCGTATGTGTTAGATGCATATCGTTTATATATCACACATCAAAAGCATATATCGTAAATAAAAGCATATATCGTAAATAAATCGTATATAAATCATATCTACTATTTGAATGTTAATCGTACGTAAATATCATGTATATATCGTCTACATACTGTGCCTATATCACATGCATATATATATATGTATCGTAAATATATCGTATATCGTATATATGAATATATATTGTGATCATAAATGTATAGCAACTCTTTTCTCACCAAGAATAACAATAGATTTGCCTATGCAGACAACATTGAGTTCTAGACATTTGATTATTCATATATTTATATATCTTTATGGTATGAACTCTTAAGCAGTCCATTAAATCTCTTATAAACAAATTATTAATCAAAATTCTGCTATAAATCGAACTGGAAAAATCCAATTTCTTCATAGACTCTAGTTGGCATAGATATGCATATAGATAGAAGAGAAAATAAATCTAGTTGAACTTTGATAAACTCAAGATGAACTAATTTTGTGGAATTTATATATATATATATAGATCTATGTGTATAGAGGGAGAGAGAGAGCGAGACGATTTATACAAATAATTGTATTGTTAAAGAATTTGATTTTGAATTTGAAATTGAATTTGGTTAGCAAATTTACATAAACAATTCAATTGTTGCTGTTGTTTATTTAAATTAACTCTAAGATTTAACCAAAATATATATACGATATACATATACGATATACATACATATGTCTAAGAGTGAAGCGTAGCAAAATTTTTAGCAGGCAAATTGAATTAACGGTAAATGTAAAACGCACGACGAAAATAAAGGCAAAATCGTGTGTACATATACTATATACATACATACATACATACATATATTTATATATATATATCGTATATGTCGATATCGGGGCGTAGATGTAAACAGAGTCGAGCCAAAGGTAACAAATGGATTTTCAAATAAATTAACTAGCAGCAATTGTAAACAGAGAGCCAAAGACTGGGAGAGATAGAGAAAGAGCGAGATAGTGAGAGAGACAGAGAGAGAGAGAGAGAGAGGGCAAGTGCATTGCACTGGTTGTAGCTGGTTATGCGTGGGTTGCCTCAAGCATTTGCCACAATTCACAAACTCAAAAGCTGCGCCTAGCAAAAGCTCCTTCAGAAAGTTCAAAAGCTTTTCGAAAAACTCTAAAACTTTGAAGTGGATATTGCAAATATATATGATATATATAGAGATAATATATCAGATATCATCATATCAAACTGTATACATCAGATATATAGGCCAGCTGCAGCTTGGCGAGATTTCGGTTAAATATTTGTTGAATTCCTTTCGTTCAATCAGTTAGCTCACAATTCAAGTTGTTTTAAGCAACTTCTTACAGCCTTGAAAAGAGATTTTGGTGAGCTGCATGCTGTCTATGGTTGCTAGAGACTAGAAATTCGGCTTATCTATAGACCTGCTCTTATTCAACTTTAACATTTTGTCGCATAAATCGGGTAGTTAATCATCTTATGCAACAGCAATGATATGGAAATTGTTAAAGACAATTTGTTAGTAAAAATATCAAGTTCAGTTAGACAAATCTGGCTAGACTTCAGCTAGTAAGCTCCATTTGAAGTGCTCTATGGATAGATAAATGGCAATAAAAATTGAGCGTTACTAACACTATATTTTCTAGTTTAATCATTGTTGTGCTGAGCTAAAAATAGATCTATAAATTATGTGACCACCTTGAGCTTGATTGAGTGTTATGCAATTAGCTCTCAAGATATTGTGTTGGAGAAATCTTCCAAGTTTTGGTAACGTTTGTCAGCATTTTTCCATTTAGATATCTCTCTCTCTCTCTCTCTCTCTCTCTCTTTCTCTCTCTCTCTCTCTCTCTCTGTCACTCTCTTTCTCTTTATACTTAACTCTCTCTGTCTCTCATATTCCTTTCTCTTTTTCCGCCTCTCTCACTTTCTTCACTTTCCACTCTTCCCGTCTTTCCCTCGCTCTTGAATATGTTCAATTAATAGAGTCAACTTTTGGTGCTGCACTCGCAGCGGCGTGGTTAAATGCAAGTGCAGCGGTACTTGCTGCAGTTAGTTACAAAAATTAAGGAATATTGAAAGCGGATGTATCCGACTGAAATATGCGCTTTTACATATTCTTTTCCTAATGCGCAAAGTTAAGTTGCCATAAAATAGCATCGCGTAGAGCTGACTGAGCTTAGCTTTAGTATAGGGTATTATCCAGTTGAGCTTATACTCTGTTAAAGTTGTATACTCTAGGTAAACATTTATAGAGTGCCAGAAGATCGGAAATTCATATGTTAGCAAATGGTATAGGGTATATTCTAGTCAGTCATACTTAACATTTTGACATATTTTAAAATACTACAGTTATAACTGTAAAATATGCAATGGTGTATCCATATAGACATAGCATATAATTGGACATGTGTATGTTATAATTAGCATAGGGTATCTTCTAGTCTGTCAGAATCACTAGAATTACTAGTTCTATGAAACAATCTTTAGGATATATACTCTATGTGCGTTGGGCATAGACTACTCGAGCATAATGTCATTATTATAAGTATAGGGTATACTCAAGTCGGTCATTGGCATGATATAGCACGATACAAAGCTGCTATATATTAAAACTATAACTAAAGCTTACGCTGTACTCAGTTTAAGGTATACTCTAGTATGCACAGGGTATATTCTAGTCGATCAAGTTATGCATTCATAATTAGTTTTGGTGTCAAGGCAAACTGCTAATTAGAAATGCGTATTGACATAGGGTATGCGTGTAGTCGTTCACTCCCTAGGGCTCGACCCGTTTGGTATTTGTTTTTCTCTTTTCTGGAGGCTGGCGATCTCAAGGACGCAGCCACCCAACGAGCATTTCAATTAACGTCCCATGTGGTTCGTTGGCCAGTGGATGAAAATTATGCCAAATGCGGGTCAGGTGGGGCGACTTGCCCACGGTTGGGGT